TTTAATATTTTACTTTATCTGTATTTTAAAACGTAAAAGCAAAAGTATAGTTGTGAAAACAAATAATTCGTTCTCGATTTTATTCGAAAGGAGATATATTCAATTTGAAGATAATAATTTAATACACTTCTAAAATATTATAGTTTAATAATCAAAGCATGTTATATATTTATTTCAACCATACAATCCGAGCACTTGATGTATGCGTCGAAATTAATTCTCAACTACAAATGGAGGGGAATTGGATTTTTTTATAGAAAAATATCTATAAAGTCCGAAAGTATTCTCTATTTCATTTTCCAATATTTCCGTCATCATGTTTCTCTTTATGTAGCATAAAATAAAAAAAAAAGAATGAAATCTTTTATTAAAATTTAATATTATTTTCATACATACTTTTCACAACCAATTACTTCATAATCAATTAAAGTTTATCGTTTTCACAGTTGAAGATGATCCTGGCATTGAATTATAATAGTTGAGTGTTAATGATACACGCATGTTTGTTTAAAAAGCTGTATTCTTAGCGGGATATTTTGAAAGGCGTTATATAGTATTTTATATTGAAAAATTGCCTTCCGTGTTACAGTAAATAGAAGCGTATAATCCCGCGGATGTGGGATATTTTACGCATGAGCGTTATTAAGTGTTATCCTTGTGGATGTTATTACAGAGATTTTATGACAGAAAGAAGTATCTCTTCCACGATGAATATATATTCGGTATATTTGCTCGATCGACATAATTGTACATTGCTCTAGATTATGTGTGAGGTGTTCTTTCTGCAAAAGACGGCTGAATTAAAAGGAATCAACGAAAATTGATATATTCTGCGAAGTCAACCTTGTGATCGTCGAAATCAGCGATTTATTTCAATATTTTTGCATAAAGTCCTATTCTTTCTTACTCCTAATTCATTAGTACCATTTTTCGTTTCCGAAACATTTTCATCTTTTTTATAAAATTGGCGAAAGTAATGGCAAACGAATGCCGATAGGAAACAGAATTGAAATGGTCTTTATCTGTATCTAGTTTAAAGTTTTATAAAATGAAAATATTACATATGCCTATTTCAAATTCGGTTACAACGAGACGATTAATATGGAACGAGTGCCTTTGTTCTTTTCTTCCTTTTAATGCATACAATCTTTTGCATGGTCAGTAAGCGTGTAATTCTCCTTCCTCCAGTCACGATTACAATTTAACGATACTTATATTTCGTGATATTTCCAAATGTTACGTTCTAAAGATTATATTCTTTCGACTTTATGTTCTTAAAGTTGTTATTTTATTTCGCGTAATCATTGTTTTTTAAAAGTAGGGAAGTCTTTTATAATTTTCTGTAAATATCGAATAATTAAAACACATTGTTTGGAAGAGAAGTGCTTTTATTAAATAATGTCTAGAATACAATTTAATTTATATAAATTGAAAGATCTCTGAACGTAAGAACATGTTGTATACACACGTTTCGTGTACTAAGGGAGGAGAATTATCGATACTGACTCATCCTCCAAACAGATTATTATACATAAAAGTACACATATATATATAAATAAATAAATATATATATATTGTTTGTTGCAATCGACTTTGACCTGGGCAGGGTTCCAGAGTATCCTAATATTATTATAATATATCAGTATTTTCTGTATTTTTCTATCAAGTTGTCAAAATAATAATTGTTAATATATTGTGCAAATATCAAACAGATACCGTCCAAGAATAAATTTTAAAGCTGAGAATTCAGTTTTCCCTTTGCCTGTGAAATATCGAACGCACAGGTAATCGTTGCACCTTTCATGTCTGAGAACGTAAATTGCGTTATTCGACAATTCTCGTTCCCCCTTTCCTAATTTTATCTAATTTTTTTATTCGATTAATATACTTTTTTCACTAAATTTGATTATAATTTTGATATATTTAAATATATTGCATTTATAATCGAATTAATTTCATTTGATCAAATATATGTGATTTAACTAATGTACGTTCGTATTCAAAAAAAGCTTATAAGATATTATTTCTTAATGTAAGATTATCGTAAAAATTACTGAAAGATACATTCTTAATATACAATAAACATTTAATAAAATTCACGAGTCATTAAAGGAATCTAATAAAATTTTAATTAAAAAAAGAGCACACATATATACACACGTAATGAATATATGAAAAATCTCTCTCTTAAAGTCACAATTATTACATGTTAATAAAGATTAAGATTCTTTTGAAATGATAATGTCTATTCTTTCTTATTATATAATAATAATATCACTCTTGGATATTTTACTTGCAAGTGATAAGGAAGAATTGGATTTTATCTGACGACGAGAAATCAATTTTGTATATATATATATATGTGCTTTTGAGCAAGTATTGGTTTACATTCTATTACGGTTTTGGTACGTACACCCATAAATTATGAATCAAGAACGCGCATTTCGTATATAGATTTTTAAATGTATGTTTTATTTTAACTAATCTTTTTATTCTATTTTAGCATATACACATATGTATTATATGAACATCATATATTATTTCATTGCAATATTTATATATATATTTATATATATGTAGATATTATATTCTCGATAGAAAAAGAAAAAATGAAAAAAAAATAGTTTTTGATAAATTCAATCTTTTTTGATAGAGACGATTAAAAAATTGAATTGTGCGCGTTATTTTTTCTAATATTAATTATCTTGGACATTGTTTTTTTAATATATATATATATATATTTGTTTTTTACAGTATATATACATAAATCAACATTGGGTATTTTATAACTCTATTGGCACATTGTAGGTGAGTGTTGAATTAATTTTGACGGAACGTATTTGTGTAAGAATTATATTGGATAATTAATTTTTCTGCTCTATATGTTATTTGTTACCATTATTATTTCCGAATTAAGTAAACGGAGTAACTTGCGAATCGATGGACCGAATGAATTGGGTAATGGAAAATCGTGATGTGTAAACCGAATCGTTTATTATTAATCAATTGGAAAACGAGAATAAATAACAGAATATTCGACGCAAAACTACAAACATTTCATAAAACGTTAAATATTTGGCAGCAAATAATATCTTGGGGCAATAAAACAAATCGGTTGGCAAACGACCTGGCATTTGTTTATGTTTGGCTACGCACGTAAGGTTGTCATTCACACGGTGAGTCTCGAGCAGGTAACACATGTCATGAGCTGTATGTACATATACCGCTCTTTAAAAGGCTATCATTCTCTACGGATAATTATTCGTAATATTAATTATTAATATTAATATTAGGTATCATTATTAATAAACGATTATCAGTTTGTATAATTAATTAATTTTACAATCAAGGATTCGTAACTGTATCAAGAAAATAGCTATTTACTGAAATAAATACTTCGCGTAATTTATTCATTCGAAACAGAAATGAAAGTAATAAAGGATAATATTTATTAATTACTGCTCCGCTGCAATATATTTATAAGTTATAATTACATATAATTACTACATATAATACATTTCTTGTATTTGAATGTAATCTCGCATCGCGAATAACAATCGATCAAATTATTAATCATTAATTTCTTAAGTATTAAACATTTCATATCATTATTCATATTATATATAATTTTTTATAATGTACAACGTGTCATGTAATTTATTTTATAATTAACAATGTATTTTGTAGAAGCAAAAAACGAATCGATCGGTGTTCGGTGCTCGCTTTTTTATAACGTCTTTCGTTGAAAGAAGAAAAGGGATGCGGTGATAGGTATAATCTTTCAATTATAAAATAAATTACAAATTATATTATATTACAAAATTATATATAATAGAACCCTCCCAACGAGTACATTTTGACGTTAGTGAGAGGGCTCAGTACCCGTACGGTTTATTCTGAAGGGCAGTTAAGTACACAAACAAAATAGACATTCGGAATTATATATAATAAATAATAATATCCATTAAAGTTATTAAAAGTTATTAAAATGAATTTCTAACAAACGATCGTAAAGTCGGATAATCATATATGGGAGCGTAAAACGATTAAGCTTACGCATCTGCCGGTTATGATAATTAGTCGGCGCAACTGAAGGAGTTTTTCTCCTTCCTCGATCCCTAATAAAGAGATCAAAGTGGCTAGATAGCTACTTGAAGTAACCAGATGAACAAGTCCAACCGGTCCGAAGACACGATAAGCTGCGTAAGATGGTTGACCAATAATAGTCAAAAGATATATAAAGAAACGCTTAGTAATGCATACTATATATCTCCTCGCATTTTTCAATAAATTACAAATTATATTATATTACAAAATTATATATAATAGAACCCTCCCAACGAGTACATTTTGACGTTAGTGAGAGGGCTCAGTACCCGTAAGGTTTATTCTGAAGGGCAGTTAAGTACCCAAACAAAATAGACATTCGGAATTATATATAATAAATAATAATATCCATTAAAGTTATTAAAAGTTATTAAAATGAATTTCTAACAAACGATCGTAAAGTCGGATAATCATATATGGGAGCGTAAAACGATTAAGCTTACGCATCTGCCGGTTATGATAATTAGTCGGCGCAACTGAAGGAGTTTTTCTCCTTCCTCGATCCCTAATAAAGAGATCAAAGTGGCTAGATAGCTACTTGAAGTAACCAGATGAACAAGTCCAACCGGTCCGAAGACACGATAAGCTGCGTAAGATGGTTGACCAATAATAGTCAAAAGATATATAAAGAAACGCTTAGTAATGCATACTATATATCTCCTCGCATTTTTCATTTTATTTACCTGCAATGGCACGTGATCGTGCACAATACGTGCAAGTCCTCGCTTCGGACAGAAGCGACCATTCCGCGCGAACAACACTGGGCGGTATCCAATGGTGTGTCAAGATGGTAAATTATTCATGACCGAGACGAATGAGTTAATAAGCTGTAGTACGAGACCCGGGTC